GGCTGAGGCTTACTTTTCTACAGGAATTACTGCAGTCAGAGAGCAACCCAATTTCCCAATTAAGCAATGAAAGTCCAGTGTTACACATATGTAAAAATGGTACTTGAGGGACCTTAGTCCTCAGCATTTACTAGCTGTGTGATCCTGGGCAAGTTCCTTAATTTATCTGTAACTCAGTTTTACAAAGTTAATCTATGAAAAAAAAGGCTTGAGCTAGGCATGTCAAAGTATAAGTTTTTAATAATCATTAGCTCCGTTGCCATAATAAATTGCTATTTAAATATAACTTGTTTAGTTAGAAGTTCATTATCTACTGATATAATTTCCATACTTTCCCTGGAGATCCTTTCAGTGATAGGTCTTATAATTGCAACCCCACAGGATGCCACCATGGGTGTAATTTTCTCTCAGCTAGTTGATAAGATCACTAAAGGCAGGAAACATATTTCTAGAACACTTATAGATCCTGGTAATTCTTACTTCAGAACTCTGAACTCTGAATTATGACCTCCTTATTTATTTAAGAGAGAAGTTTCCTCTTCCTTTATAAAGCTGAAGTAAGCATTTTATTTCAAAAATTAATATTTAACAGTAACCCCCTTTATTTAATGGTTAACTCAGTTTTACAAGCATGCTCCTAAATCAGTGATACAAATGAGGTTATGAGATAATGAACGGAGTGGGAGGAGGTAGGAGAGAATAAAGGGGGTCAAAAAGATGGTGATGGAAGGAAACTTGACTTTGGGTGGTGAACCAACAATGCAATATACAGATGATGTATTACAGAACTGTACACTGAAACTTATAACCAATGTCACCCCCAATAAATTTAATAAAATTTTAAAAAAGAAGTGACGCTGTATCTCTTGCCTTCTTGGAAGTTAGAGGGTAGCTGAAGAAATAAGGCTCAAAATAATGCATGGAAGAATCACATCACTAACGGCACACACACTACACAGTTATGAGACCAGGAAGGAGAGGAAACAGCGCAGACGTCTTATTAAGCAAGATTCACTGCATGGAGGTGATCTGGAAGGCCCCCAGGAGAAAGGAGGGCATTCTAGGCTTTCAAAGGACCATTCATTTTCACCTTTCTTTTTCTGCTGTCTGGATAGTGTGTGATACCTTGCCCGTTGGTCACCATGATTTCTTGTTCCTTTAATTACCTTCAGCCTTTGAGCAATGTTGTTGCCTGAAATTGTCACTTGCTTAAGTTCATGGCATTAATTAATTTGCAGTATCTTTTTTTCCATTTTAGATAAATACATAAAAATAGAAAGCCACAAGAAAAAGTCTTCAATAATACATAAGAAAAAAAAAAAGGACATGGAAGAGGAATCTGTATTCACTCCACCAGCTCATTCAACACACAAATAGTGAGTCTTACAATGTTCGAGACATTGTGTATTCACTATACAGGGCTGGGGGCGAGGGCAGAAATAGGACAGAAAATAAATAATTAGAATGTAATAGGACACATCCAAAAAGTGGCATAGCATGCCACTATTAAGATATACAATAAATATGTTTATTGGCACAAAAAGATGTTTATAAGTTATAAAAGCAGGTTGCAAAATATATAACAATAGGATCCTAATTTGGTTATTTTACAAAATCTTATATGTCTCTATGTAAAATACACATTTATATACAAAAGTTTAAAAATATAAATGAAAATATTGTCATTGACTTTGTGTGTGGTGGGATTAGGGATGCTTTTTTCCCTTTCATTTCTTTCTTTTTTTGTCTACATTTTTCAATTTTGTTTACCTAATTTAAAAGGCATTAAAAATGTAATATGACACTGTACTAACAAGCATCAGAAAGTGTAATGGGGCTGGAGAAAATGAGCATTTCAATGTTGGAAGTGTCAGAAAGTCTTCTGGTACAAAGCAGAAGAAGGTGTGAAAATACAGTATGTTCTAAAGTTTACAGATAGGTCTGTAAAGATAGCCACTTGGGGTAGAAGAGAGTCAATGACAAATGGACTTTGGAATTAAGGAAAGAAAGGACACAGGTTGATTTGAAGCAAGGAAGTAAAAAGTATTTACCATATCCAGGTAAATGCTTCAGACCAGCACAGAGCTTGGAGAAGAGGAAGAGAGAAAGCAGAGAGGTGCCAAAGGAGCAGAGTAAGTCCATTGAAACATCACTACCTAACTTTTCATCCAAATTAATGGGCATAAATAACAGTGGGTTGGTCCATCTCCATGGGTTCTCTGCAGTTTTCCACTCTCTAAGCTGGAGAGGTGAAGCCAACTCTTGACTCTATGTTAGACAAGTAGACAAGTGAGGGGAAAGAAAACCATGAGAGGAATGAAACAAGAAAGAAATGAAAAAGAATGTCTGTTACTATAAAATAGGTAAAAGATAGTTCAAGAAAAAATACCAAAAACTAATGCTAAGAAAGGTGACATAGGAGGTTCAAGTGTATGCCATTCAATGAATATTAATCAAGGAAGAAGCAATGTCCCACTGTGAGCATTTGATGATCGTGTGGCTACTAAGTGACTACATAGCCCAACAAAAATACTATTAACCCTTGGTTTTGTAATACATCTTAATTAAGGTGCTTTACGGCAAAAACAAAAAAATAAGTGGGAAAGATCAGTCATTTTCACTAGATCCGTGTTTTTATTTGTGGATGTACTGGGAAATACTGTGGAAATGATTTACTATTATGTTTCACCTCATGCTACTATATATGTCTTCTCAAAGACAGTAGCCACCTTTACCTTGTAATGTTAAAAGTGAAATTAATGTAGAAGGGAGGTAGAAAGAAACTAGAAAAAAAGTAATGTTTTTTCCCAATTTTTATTTGAAATTACCTAATCAAAGCAAATTGGGAGATTTCCTCTTAGTCTACAGTCCTGCAGTTCTTTACTTTTGATTTCATCAGGCCCTAATTTTCTGATGCATTTCTTGTGCTTAAAAATAACTGTAGTTTGTCTAATTTTTAGAACTAAAGACAACTGACAGTAAACATTTTACCAACGAGCAAGAGAAATAATGCACTAAGTCAACGGGTGGAATCTATGAAGGGTCTAATTCACTGCTCTCCCTTTTCTTCTATCATTTACAGGATTATCCTCATGTCAGCTGGATAATCACTTAGTTATTCTCCTAAGCATTTTTCCCTTCCTTTGTACCAAACTACAATAGTCCCCCCTTATCCACAGGGATACATTCCAAGACCCCTGTGGGTGTCTGAAACCACAGATAGTACCAAACCTTATACATACTCTGTTTTTTTCATTTACATACATACCTATGATAAAGTTTAATTTATAAATTAGGCACAGTAAGAAATTAACAACAATAAGTAATAATAAAATAGAACAATTATAACAATATGCTGTAATAAAAGTTATGTGAGTGCGGTCTCTCGCTCTCTCTCTCTCTCTCTCTGATAACCTATCTAATAACCAAGGTGGCCGGTGACTAAATGACTAAGAGGAAAGTAGCACATAGAGTGTGGAGATGCTGGACAAGGGATGAATCATGTCCTGGACAGGGTGCAGTGGGACGGTGTGCAATGTCATCACACTATTCAGAACGGCACGAACTCTAAAACTTATGGATTGTTTATTTCTGGAATTTTCCATTGACTATTTTCAGACCACAGTTGACCACAGAAAACTGAAACCACAGAAAGTGAAACCAGGGATCAGGGGGCACAACTAGATGTAACCAGTAAAGCTGTTTATACATTAAGTGTAAAAGGGCTGAGACTGGCTCAGCAATTTAATCCTGTTTTACAAAATCAGAACCTGACCCAAGAAAAATGCATCTGGGATTAGCATAATCATTATAAAGCTATTAATAATGTGGGTTCTATATGGGACTCAGGGACTCATAGGTCTTCATCTAAAAATTAAATAGCAAATATGAAAATTAAAATGTTGATAAATAAAAAGCCTTGATGTTTTTTTTAAATCAAATTTCTCAATGAGACAAAAAAATACAATGATCAGTAGCAAAGAAAGGAGGTAATGAGATCACATACATGCAGAAATCGTTTGTTTTAATACTTTTTTTAAAAACACAAGATAATTACTGTTCTGGTGAATTATTGTACCCTGAATCTCCATCTCCTTTCTCCTTGATCTTGGCACTGATCTTTTGAAGTTTAATTTCTATTAGAAACTTTTTATATGGCCACATCCATATAAAATGCTTAAACCAGGATGAAAGACTTTGGGCTCTAATAATACAATGTTAGCTACCTTTTATGGTGCTCTTGGCATATGCTGGGCAGTGTTTCAACATCTTGAAACATATCTGATAAATAGGATTATGTGACTTTCACACCAGCCCCTGTGGATGGCGTCACTAGTCTCATTTTACAGTTGAGACAGAGAGTAATAGAGATTTAGTTAAGAAAGTTGCTCCAAGCTCCAGAGTTAGTAGAGTAGCAGACTGGAAAATCTTTAGCACTAAATGGCCACAGCTGCCCGGGATATAAAACCTCCTGTTTTCAAATGTTATTTGAGAGCTCCAAGAATTGCAGCTATGCAATTGTTTGTTTTTCCTTGTTTAAAATAACCTTCTGTGGATTAAAATTTGTTTCCACTTTTAAAAAGTATCCTTTGTAATCAGGTGTTTCTTTTCTAGATAAATGTATCATTTTGTTATTTTATGTAATACTTAGGACATAATGATGTCAACCAATCCAACAACCCACCCTCCACCGCATGAAGCCACACAGAATCCTTATCAACCACCTCCGGGTTTCATATACCTAGGGAACCAAGTTCAGAGTAACCAGCCTCACATCATCACTTCTCCAGGAATCTTCGCTAACTGTCAGCAGGGTCAAGGAAATGTACAAATGATAACTCCAGCCGTAGGAATAGCAACCTCAGACTTTAAAGAGGAAGCGAAGACACTCGGGGTAAGTCTGCTTACTACCAGAATTTTAATTTTGCATTTGCAAGGTTGTACAGGTATAGTTGGGGAGAAGTTTATGATCTCATGACACACATCCAATCACTAAAAAATTCTGAACGTTACTCTGGAAACTGTATCCCTTTTAGGTTGACATCATTTATCTGCATACAGACTTTATCCTGAGTTCATTTTATTTTAGATTCAAACAAGAATCTAACAGGTGACAAAGAATTCTTCCTAGCGAGACAAGTCAGTACCATTGACATACTCGTGATGGGAGCACCACTGACTTCTAGCTTGATCTCATGTCTACAAAGGACATTTAGGGCACCCTCAATTCTGTCTCTGGATTAGTTTCAAGTCTGGTATTTGTATGTATGTGAATGCACATGAAAATGAACATTGATGGCTGCCTTAAAAACAAAAGGAACTACAAACGGGCTGTCTGGGGAAAACTGGGTGTGAAAGAATTAGGGGCCATTCCATCTGCTGGGCCTCCACCCAGTGGACGTGTGTAAACTTAATTGCCACATTACTTCTACAAAGGGCACTTCAGACATTCGTAACTTTGTTTCTGGGGGTGTTGTAAAGCACATCCTGCTTGCGAGTGAAGATTCCACTCGCTGGGCAGAGTCTTTAACCCTCTGGCTACGCTTTCCAGGCGCCTCATTCATGCCACTGACACAATTCCAACCCAGTGTGCTGTCCCTCCCTGTGTGCAGTTCTAACTTCTCTGCTAGAGCATTCAGTGAATTATAATGAGTGTCCATTCTGTGCCAGAAACTCTTCTAGCCATCTTATTACCTATTTCAAGTTTTAACATTTTAGGGAAGTAGAAACGAGCATTGGTCTCCCTCCAGCAGGCAGATTTGCAGAGGTGGCCCCTCACATCCTCCTCCCTCCAGATACAGAGAGTCCCCATGGAGTACATGGGACCAACGTGCACCCCACACAAGTGCTGGGAATATTGCAGAGAATAAAACAAGCCCAATTTCTGCCCACATGCAATTTAGAGCCTAGTGGGAGAAATCAGACTACACACATTAAAGTACATAATGTGTTAGAAGGTGGTAAATGATACACAGAGGACAAAGATGAGTAAAAGGAATAAGAGATACCAGGCAGTGAGGGGGTAGAAATTTCAAGTTGATCAGAGCAGGCTTTCCTTAGAAGATGACATTTGAGCAGAGACATGAAGTGAAGGGCTAACTGTGACGATATCAAGGCAAGAGCTTCCGGGTAAAGTTGGAATGGTCTTTAGAGATAAGTGTGTTTGTCGTGTCTGAAGGACAGGGCGGAGGCCAATAAAGTAGGATGGAATGAGGAAGGGAAGGAGTGGTCGGAAGGAGGACAGATGGGTGGCGGGGCCAGACCCTGTGAGGCCTGGAAGACAAAGGGCTAGAGCTTTCTCTCCGAGTGGAATGGGACGCCACCGGAAGAGTCTTCCTGGTACTGAATAGGTGCACAATAAAAGGACTCTAAAGAGACAGGTGCCATTTTATTTTTTAACAGTTCCGGTTGGCAGCAGAGATTTCCTCTCCTTGGAGACTGCACATTTATCTGTGCGATGGCGGCCTCAGTCACCACAACAGTGCAGGGGCCTCAGGGGGTAGGACATGGAATACCTTCCCCAGCTGGCTGAGAACTTAAACTTAGGTCTGTGGCCCAAAATCCAGAGGGAATGAAATGACCAAATGACTCAGTCTGGCCTACAGGCAATTTTGATCAGCGAGTGGTATAGCCAGGGACATACAAGGAGAAAAGGGGACCGATATTAAACTAAGATCTCATTGTTCTTCATCAAATAACAGCAAGGATGAAGATGGGAAGTTTGCAGCCAGATGATTGAATTGCTGCTCTAGAGAAAATGCTGTGGAAACTAAATATAATATCTAATGCTGAGATCCACAACTGGCTAAAAGAGGCCTTTGACTCCTCTGAAGTTTCATGTGGTGTGTGTATGGATGGATGTGTACAAACAGTTTTTCAGGAGAGAAGGCTCATAAGCTTTTATTAGCCTCTCAAAGAACTTTGTTATTAAAAAAAATTTTTTTTAATCTCTTAACATTATTTAGGAAGCTGTGTTTTTTCCTAATTCTGAGTCAATTAGTTATAGCCAGGAGCTATTTACTGAAGAAATAAACACAGCAACCTTTGTATTTGCAGTCTTCCTGACAGCTAAGACATAAACTAGGAAGAAACAATTAACTTGTGGTCCCATCTAGCAACAGTTATCTCTCACAAATCTATTCATCCAGGATGAAGGAAGTCGCAGTAGGAGGTTCCTTTAGAGATGGCTCTCCCTGTCTTTGAGCACACATATCTTGGCCAATAAAAAAAGGTTTGCGTACCTGCAATTGAAAAGAGAATATAGCCGGGCCTGCCGAGTGGCTCAGTTGGTTAAGAGCTTGCTCAAGAGTTTGAGCTCTGAGCAACAGCGGTTTGAGTCCCGGCCTGAGCTGAGCAGCCACTGAGCTGCCAACAGGTGGCAGGATGGCTCAGCTTGGAAAAAAAAAAAAAAAAGAGAATATAGCCAAGTAATAAGGTGTGTGATTTCTGTCATAAGATACAACAGAAACTTAGAAAGGAAAAAGCTTACACTGACTGGTAGAATCAGAGGCGGAGCGCAGGCTGAGAGGGGAGGGGCCACACTGGACAATGAAGTCCTGGGCTCTGCAGCCAAGTTGCTGCATTAAATGCCCAATCTGCCCCTCAGTAGTGGTGTGATCTTGGACACCATTATGGTCTGAATGTTCGTGTTCCCTAAAGTCCATATGTTGAAATCCTAGTTCCCAAAGATGATAATAGTTGAAGGTGGGCCCTTCGGGGTTGCTTAGGTCATGAGTGTGGAGCCATCCTAAATAGGATTAGTGCTGTCACAAAAGAGGCTCCTGAGAGACCTCCAGACTTTCGGCCTTGTGAGGACACAGTGAGGAGGTGCCGGCTTTGAACCACGAAGATAGCCCTCGCCAGAAGGTGACCGCGCTGGCTCCTTGAACTTGGCCTTCCCAGCCTCCAGAACTGCAAGCAATAGATTTCTATTGTTCATAAGCCACCCAGTCTGTAGTATTTTGTTACAGCAGTCTGAACAAACTAAGGCAGATACCTAATTTCTTTATGTCTCAGTTGGTGGGAGGATTACATGAAACAGCAAATGTAAAGTGTTTAGAATATTACCAAGCATATAGCTAATGCCCAACAAATTGTTGTGTTTTCTTGTTTGTCTTCTGTTTTTGCTTTCCCCCGCGACTGGGATTACTCAAGCAGAGAATTGGTCCATTTGAAAAAGACAGCCATCACAGTTAAAGCATTTTCTTCTAAGAGTCTTTTAGAGGCTCTCAGGGGTTGCTCACTGAGGCTTACGCAGTAGCACTTTCTGAAGAACTCTCCTTTGGCCACCCCTGCAGGCCTCCCCAGATACTGCAAACAAGGCCTTTACCAAGNATTCATTTTAAACAATGTAATCATGTTTTTATGCAACTGGGGGAAAAATTCATTTGGTTAGTCACACATCAATATTTATTGAATGCCTACTCTGTACAGGGCACTTTTCTGTGTGCTTGAGAAAAACAAAGATTCTGTTCCTTGGACGCCTGTATTATCTAAGTATTAGACTTCCTATGAAAAATAAAACCAAGTTAAGTTTCATTTTAAGGTTTAAATCTTCTAAGCTTTCTAAAAATGTACCTGTGATTGGAGACCTGAGAAAGTGACAGGAGTAGAAATATTATATCCCAGCATAGAGGTCATATGCTTATCAGTAATGTGTCACTATTTAAAGGCCTTGTGATATTTTCATCTAAAAACCCATTCATTCATTCATTCATTCATTCATTCATTTGCTCAAAAGAAAGGTATTATCTACTACTTTGCAACCAGACACTCTGCTAGGCTATTATATAAAGTTTAGGGTTCACAAATTTTTATTGGGGGTGGAGTGGGCTTTATTCAAATGCCAGTAAATACATACTTTTTTTCATCCACAAGTAATAAATGCTGGGTTGAGTACAAAGACCTCACCTGAGAAATATAACTTAAGCTATACAAGAAAAACCCAAGTGCATCCTATATTTAGTCCCTTCCCTCCTTGGAGGAACGCAGGTGATTATAGATTTCTAGGACTCCACGGTGTCTTCCAATTCTAAATTCTAAGGCTTAAAAGAAGGTCAATATTTCATCATGAAATACATGGGTTCGAGAGTCATCTTTCCAGAATCTATCAATGTATCTTTGATCCATATGTATCTTTGATCCATGCCGGTCCTACACAAGAGTTCTGAAAGCTCTTTTTCCCAGATATTGTTTTGCATTTGTCACATCCCTCTGAAAAGCAATCAGTCATAACTG